GATGTGCAAGATCGTATGCCGAGAAAATACTCGAGATACTAAATACTAATATTTATATTTAATATAATATATATTTGAAAACTTCAAATCAACCATAAAAAATTATCAAAGAATAGATGCTACGAAGCGAAGACTGAATATAATAAGGGGTTTTAAGTATGCTTAATTTATAAGATGGAACTTGTACTAAATATGTATTATAACATTAAATTCTTCATTTCATTCTTGGTTTTATTAAAAATACATTTGATTCATATATTGTATGGAAATCATTTATGTTCCGATCTACTAAAAAAGTGATTTATTAAAACCTTTATGTTTCTCTTAAAGTGCTTCCAAAACGCAGGAAATGCGGTTTTAGACACCCCAAATTCAAAATTTTCTCGGGGGGGCATACCCCCGAACCTCCCTAGTAGGCTCGTGCCTTCGGCACTCGGATTTGCCCCTCCAAAAATAGATCCTGACGGCGCTACTGGACAGATGACGAAGGTTCGAGGGAGGATGATTTTGCCATAAGTGGTTTTTGGGTGGTGGAGGGTGTCGGGGTAGGGGTTTCAAAGTCTGCACCCAAGGTGTAATTGGCTACACAGCGGTCATAGGTGCAGCAGCCAAATTTCGCACAAACGCTACCCTCTGCACGAACAGGACAGAAGTTTGTAGTTTTACACTCGTCTCTTGCCTTACAACCTTAAATAAAATTATATTTGTAAATCACGATTATACGAGACCAGACGAACTCAAAATTGTATTTGTTTAAACGGGAATTCGTACAGTTAGTTGCGTTTGAGTTCCTGCCGTTTCATGCTGTTTCTGCGTGCTGTTTCATGCGTGCTGTTTCATGCGTGCTGTTTCATGCGTGCTGTTTCATGCGTGCTGTTTCATGCGTGCTGTTTCATGCGTGCTGTTTCATGCGTGTGAACGTGAAAGATAAACCGTGTAAATTAATTTGTGACTTGTTCCGTTTTGTTCCGTTGTTGACGTTTCTGATATTGAATTGGTGACCGCGCCTAAATTAAAAAAAACCCCCACTGAATTGCTACCACCCTTAGCTTTTTGCGTGAGGTGTCACCTATGGTGTCACGTATCACCTAAAATTGCTGCAGAGATAATTGAAAAATACGTGGCAAACAAATCTGACAAGTTTACCAACTGAAAGTATTCGTCGTTACCATTTAGCAAACTTTCAAATCGTACCATGTAACCGTATCTTAACTGTTTTCGTTAGTAAACTGAGCGAGGAACACTAAACGGATATCCTGAAGAAATGCAAACCTTTTTCGATTCTAGTGCTAGCATCTTTCAGTCTAATCACAGCTGCGTAACAAAGCTCGTTGTCTTCCGTACATGTTGTCACACCGTTGGCACACGTACTCCCTGTACACAGACATGTCAGTGCCTGCCCGTGAAGACCTAGAATTGAAAAACAGTTTTTCGGTAAGTAACCATTATTTTAAGAACAAAACCTCTTGAACGATGCGAAGAAGAGCTTGTACTGACCACTAAATAAAGATGCCAGGACAAAAACTGCTAGCGGTACTCTCAACATCTTTCTAGAAAAAAAATTGTGGATTGCCGATGAGAAGGAATATAAACTAAACTAAAAATAAACTGGATACCTCTCAGTCAAATCTAAACTTCGCTTTCCTGACCAGTAAGGATCATCCCTTATTGAACCAGTGTTACTACAGGAAGAAACTAAACTAACCTTTATTTATACTGGATAGCTCTATCAGTTCTAATAGGACTGCAAATAAAATAATTGTAAATAGCAAATAATTTTTTGTAAATAGTTTAAAAAATCTTCTTCTTAACTGTAAACCTTATCAATTCAGTATATATACTGCAAGTCAAGATATTGAATAAAACCATCTATCTCTTGCCGGATCGGCAAAGGGAGCGGCTTAAAGGACTGATGAACGTCTTCATCCGGTTTCGGGAAGCGGAGTTCATTTAAGATGGTCATCAACTTCCTCATTGTTCACACTACAGCCCCATAAAGACGAGAAAGTTTTCCTTGACAAGATTTATTTGCTCGTGTGCACGGCAAAAAAGTGACAAATTTTCCTTCCAAAGCTATAGTCATGCCAGGAATATGTGTTCGTGTATACGGCCGCCAAGGAAAACATGACAAGTGTACAAGAAACATTTCTATGGTTTTAGCAAACAAAAGGCGGCCTTGGCGTGAGATAAATGTTTAACAACATTTCGTGCACACGAGCCAACTCGAGTCAAGGGAAACGTATTTGACCGATCAACTTGTCAAGGAAAAGTGTGTAATAATTAACAAATATAAAACATTTTCCGTGTTGATATACAGTAATATCAACACGAGTGGAAATTGGGAAAACGAGAAATTGCCGAAGGGCGGAGTGTTTTATTATTCATTTATTCAGCAGAGAATGAAACCACATTGCACAAAGCCTGCCGCACACGTGAGCAACTTGCTGAGTTAACCGCCTCGCGTGGCAGCTAGCTCAGCAAGTCAGGCTCTCGTGTGCGGATAGTTTTCGTGAGGATTTGACCTCTCGAGGCCTTGAGGAAAATATCTATCGTGTTTGTTATTTTTCACCTCGTGAGGAAAAAATCAACGTCTGCGGATGTTGTGAGCTTAGTATTGAGTTGCTTGAATCAATTAGCCAATGACAAACCATGGTTTCTTCATGTGACTTGGAACAAAATGGAGGAAAATGCAAATGATTTTGTCAATTACGTTGTTGAGCAGTTTTCCCAAAGTGACTCGAGGCGGTTAGCTCAGCAAGTTTCTCTCGTGTAGAAAGTGAAATTCTGTGGTTTAGACGAACATTTTGAACCTCTAAAGGTTTTATTATATTTCAATATATAACGAACATAAGCTGTCCACATAATATTACTATTTTAAAATTGCAATGCTTGGCGAAATAATAGAGCATTTGCACATTACGTCACAGCCGCCATGTTGGTGTTCCAATTCAAAATAATTTTAGTTAGACTCTTTTGACTGGAACGCCAACATGGCCTGTGCCATGGGTTTTGTAGAGTTGGTCCCTGGAGAATGAGTGCAAACACTCTATAGTCTGGCTTCTACGTACAAGAATCTATAAGCATTTCAAATAATAACCTAGCTTCTAGAAGAATCTATAAGCATACGAAATAAGTAGGGCTATATCTTACAATTCAATAGCTTTATACAGAAAATATACAGTGCTAATATTAGTGGGGTTATTCGGTTTAAACTTCATTAGCAGTATATGCTGTTAATGAGGCTAAACCGAATAACCCCACTAATTAGCACTATATATATTTTCTGTATAAAGCTACTGAATTGTAAGATATAGCCCTACTTATTTCGTCTTAAAATTTATTATTATTATTATTATTATTATTATTAATATTATTAACTTACTTTGTGAATTTGTTGCCTTGTGTGTTTATAGTCCTTGTAGCTGCTACAAAATGAGGGTCCGACAGCCGTGTTATGAAACTTGAAGAATAGTTTCAAACTACAAAACTGAAAATGAAACCTGTGCGATGATTGGACATGTTTTCAAGTACAGTACTTGAAGTACCAGTTAACTCAAAAATGTCTACGTGGTAATAGTTTGAGGGTCTCTTCACTGTCTAAAATAAATTACTTGTTTTGCGTCCCCAGTGATGAATCCTTCGAAAAAATCCTTCAGTTCAGTTTTACTCGTAGTATGAATTTACAATTCAAAGATATATTACAATTTCGAGGTATTAAACTGCTATTAGACCTATTACTGTATTAGGGAGTTTAATTAAGCTTCACGTTTCCGGGAACGGGAAACGGGCAGGTTCGAACTTCCTTGGCAAAATTTTCGTTGAACGTTTTTGTTTCATATTTTCTTTCTTGTGTCGAAAGAATAATTATGTATTTCAATTTTAAAACAGCAAGTTCATTTACTCTTTATTGCCTGATACCGTAAAATTTTTCCGTTTGCCTGGCGTTTGCCGTTTGACGTATAACGCGAAGCTTATAAACTCTCTATTAACGTCTTAAGCTATTGCGTTTTTGTCCTAATGTATTTTATATAATTTTTATATTAAAATAAAAAAGGGAAATAAAAAGCTGCCCTAAACAAGTAATTTTGTACGTGGCCTAAGCATTAGACAAGCTAGTGAAAACATTAAAAAAAGTCAAACAATGTGGTTGAACTCAAAAGCAGTTCAGACTATTCCCGAATACAAATTAAACCCTTGGCTTTAAAATAACTTTTCTGGAGTCGTCCACCATTAGTAAGCTTAAACACGCGAGTTTTGTCAACACGGACCTCATTCAAAAATTGGTATAACTCATTTTGGCGGCATTTTGTATCATAACGCTCATGTAAGGAAGCAAAAAACTTTAAAAATCTTATGTTTTGTCATATGTATTGAAGATAACCACAAACTGATACAAACACAGTTTTCTAGTCCTTTCTCGACAATCTTCATAGTCTGTCAAGATATGATGATCTGGAATCCTGGGAAACTTCAAAGCCACAAAATAGAAGACCTTTGTTTGATGTTGAACTGTACCTCAACGTGCACAAATCCTTTGTCTCAACTTCATTAAATATTATTCATCGTGGTCGCACGTTTCATCTCAGCTGTCCTTATTAGACGATTACGTCATTATACGAAAATACAATGAGCTCAATCACCGTGACCGTGCACAAATTAACATAAACTCAGAGAAAAACATAACACAATGACTTCTGTTTAGTTTCCAGATCCTCATATCTTGATAGACTATGCTTAAGCTTGCTATTTGCTGTTCTGTAACGGTTACTGGAGCACACATATAGACACGTCAGTGCAATTTTATGTCCAACTGAAAATTTGCTTTTACATATTGAGTACTATTTCTCATTTTTTGGATATGGATTTAACAGAACTAAGCTTATTACAAATTGCAGTAAAGTTTCTTATTTTCCTTTGAAATGAAGCTGTTTCTTAGTATTATCCAGATATTTTGTCTTTAAAACAACAACAGAGCACCAATTAATAATTAAAAGCATAATTGAATTTGGGAAAGCACGCTACACCCAAAGCTCTCTATTGAGAAGAATTAGCCTTTCTCGCGCCGCCATTTTTGGGTGGCTTTTCAGCCGAAGTCTGTGAGATAAGTCCACATAACAGCGACTTCTCACAATTTTTTGAACGAATGATGGTAAACTTGCTTTGTAAATGGTTAGTTGATTTTGAAAAATTGCTTTTCATATTCCGGTTTTAATTGTCTGCATTGGTTAACGAGAATTAGATGCCACCCAAAAATGGCGGATATTCGTCATGGCGAGAAAGGCTAATTCCACCACTTGAAAAATACAAGTAAAATTTTGACGTTTCGATGTTTTATGGAAGCTGCAGTTTATCTTCATATATAAACTGGAGAGCGCTACTTTAACAAGCTAAATTAAGTTCAGTTAAATGAAGTAATCTTCACACTGACACTCTCGGGGGATGTTAAAACATTCCGCACAACAATCCAATCGCTATAAGGACAAATGCACCCAAACTGAACACGCGTCCTGATGCCCTGGAGCAAGGGGGCCGTGTATCGACAAATCCAACTGAACTCGAAGCTTGTGTAGTACTAATTGTGTGCGTGCTTCCACTTGGTGTAATCGACACACTTGATATCGAGCTTGACATCATATTTTCCGTAGTCGACTTTATTTCCGGTTGTGCTGACGTCGTAGGCTTAACCGCTGTCATTTTGGAAGTTCGCATCATGGAAGTCATTTCTGCTTGGTTGGTACTGGTACTGGTACTGGTAGTGACTATTTTTTCTTGGACGGTACTGGTAGCGGGCATGTTTTCTTGGACAGTACTTGTGGCGGGAATTTTTGCTTGGTCGGTACTGGTGGCGGGAATTTTTGCTTGGACGGTACTTGTGGCGGGCATTTCAGGTTTTGTTGTCATAGGAACGACAGATGATGAAGGTTCGAGGGAGGATGATTTTGCCGTAAGTGGATTTTGGGTGGTGGAGGGTGACTGGGCAGAGGTTGGGGTAGATGCCATAATTAAATATGCCAGGACAAAAGCTGCTAGCGTTACTTTTGACATGAACATTTTCTATAAGAAAAAAATGTGGATTTTTGGGTGGTGGAGGGTGACTGGGCAGAGGTTGGGGTAGATGCCATAATTAAATATGCCAGGACAAAAGCTGCTAGCGTTACTTTTGACATGAACATTTTCTATAAGAAAAAAATGTGGATTTTTGGGTGGTGGAGGGTGACTGGGCAGAGGTTGGGGTAGATGCCATAATTAAATATGCCAGGACAAAAGCTGCTAGCGTTACTTTTGACATGAACATTTTCTATAAGAAAAAAATGTGGATTTTTGGGTGGTGGAGGGTGACTGGGCAGAGGTTGGGGTAGATGCCATAATTAAATATGCCAGGACAAAAGCTGCTAGCGTTACTTTTGACATGAACATTTTCTATAAGAAAAAAATGTGGATTTTTGGGTGGTGGAGGGTGACTGGGCAGAGGTTGGGGTAGATGCCATAATTAAATATGCCAGGACAAAAGCTGCTAGCGTTACTTTTGACATGAACATTTTCTATAAGAAAAAAATGTGGATTTTTGGGTGGTGGAGGGTGACTGGGCAGAGGTTGGGGTAGATGCCATAATTAAATATGCCAGGACAAAAGCTGCTAGCGTTACTTTTGACATGAACATTTTCTATAAGAAAAAAATGTGGATTTTTGGGTGGTGGAGGGTGACTGGGCAGAGGTTGGGGTAGATGCCATAATTAAATATGCCAGGACAAAAGCTGCTAGCGTTACTTTTGACATGAACATTTTCTATAAGAAAAAAATGTGGATTGCCGATGAGAAGGAATATAAACTAAACTATAAATAAACTGAATACCTCTCATTCAAATCTAAACTGTGCTTTCTGAAGTTCCAGTAAGGATCATCCCTTATTAATTGATCCAGTGTTACTACAGGAGGAAACTAAACTACTACTAACTTTATTTTTCTGGATAGGTCTATCAAACTATAAAACTGTTCTTCCTAAAGCTCCAGTAAAGATCATCTCTTTTTGATCCAGTGTTACTACTAACATCGGGGGATGAAGCTGAATTTTTTAATGGGGAATTTGCTTGAAGCATTAACAGTTTTGTAATTTTTCAACGCCGTGAGTTTTTGCGTAATTTGCCAAATCACCATTGGGAATGTGGAAATTTTATATAAAACCTGAAAAATTCCACCTTATCTCCCGATACAATAGGAGGAAACCCAAACGAAATTAACTTTATTTAATAAATATAAAAACAATAATAACTTATTTCACCACTAACATATTTATACCGCGTATAGCTCTATCTCACTTATTGTTCTTGTCAGTGGGCAATATATTTGCCGGATAGGCGGATCCGAAAGGAAGCGGCTTAAAGGAGTGGACTCTGCATGGTCACGTCTTAATCGGGTTTCGGGAAACGGAGTTCATTTCATATGGTAATCAACTTCCTCATTGTTCACACCACAGCCTCATACAGATGAGCAAAATTTCCTTGACAATTTTTATTTGCTCGCGCATGTGCATGTATACGGGCAAAATATTGACATTTTTTTCTTGCCAAGGAACCGTCTTGCAAAGCTAGTCTTGCCAGCTTTTGGACAAGGAAAGTTTGTTCCTGCGTACGGCCGCCAAGGAAATCTTGAAAAATTTCTATGGTTTTGGCAAACAAAAGACAGCCTTGGCGTGAGATATATGTTTAACAACATTCTAACAAAACTGGTCAAGGAAAACTTGTTACTTGTCAAGGAAAACTTATTGACCGATCAACTTGTCAATGAAAACATATTGACCGATCAACTTGTATATTGTCAAGGAAAAGTATGCCAGACCATTAATTTACATAAACTTAATATTTGTTTACCACCAAATACATGCAAGAGTAGTATATATGAGATGAATTATTGGGAGTGTATTTTTTCCACTCTGAAAACTGACAATTGACTACCATTTGCTGCACGGCAACTTCAGTCGGGTAATTTATTCGTGCATGGCTGTAACTGTTGAAAAAGTACTTGACAAATTGTTCGTGATAACACTCTTTGTATATATGTTAACATATGCCTTGTGGCAATAATTAGATATTCATTTAGTGAGCAAAGAATATATAAAACCACATAACATATTGCATGATGGCTTCCTCGTGTCGGTTAATCAGTTCAGTAAATTTAAAGCACATGAACACTACATTTCGCATTACGTAACAATTACCAAACTTCTCTCTGAGACTGTTAATTTATAAACCAATATCTATTATAGTAAAAACATTACCATATTCTTGAATGTACTGCATATGTAATAATCATGGCCGGCTACATTTTGAACCTCTAAAGGTTTTATTATATTTCTATATATAAGGAACATAAACTGTCCACATAATACCACTATTAAGTTAAAACTGCAATGCTTGGCGAAATAATAGTCTATCTCCCACCTAGAATAATCTTAACATAAGCATTTAATATACTGCTATAATGAATTAAGACTAAACCAACCCCACTTGAGCACTATATATTTTCTGTATAAAGGTATTAAATTGTAAGATATAGCCGTACTTATTTCGTCTTCAGATCTATTATTATTATTATTAACTTACTTGTGAATTTGTTACCTGCGGTGTATTCATTTCAATGGTTTTTAGTCTATGCCAGCTGCTACAAAATGGCTGTCCAACACTCAACAGCCACACACACACTATGAAACTTGAAGAATAGTTTCAAACAAAGCCGTCTGTGCGATGATTATGTAAATTGTATATTTAAATGTGATTTGGACATTTCAAGTACTAGTAAACTTAAAAATGTCCACGTAGTAAAATTGTTTGAGCATCTCTTTACTGCCTAAAATAAACTTACTTGTTTAATTAGCGTCCCCATGAATCCTTCGAAAAAATCCTTCAGTCCAGTTTTGCTCGTGGTATGAATTTACAATTCAAAGTTGCCATTAAATCGAGGGATGAAACTGCTATTAACGTCTTAAGCTATAGAGTTCTTGTCCCAATGCATTTTATATAATTTTTATATTAAAATAAAAACGGGAAATAAAAAGCTTCCGCCCGACCTGAAAAATGGATGGACGCCAAGTAATTTTGTACGTGGCCTACAAGCATTAGACAAGCTAGTGAAAACATTAAAAAAAGTAAAACAATGTGGATGAACTCCAAAGCAATTCAGACAATTCCCGAATACTAACCCTTTAATTTAAAAAACAAATTCTGGAGTCACTACCTATATGCTGGTATACAGATCGCTCATGTCTCTTGACTATGTTTTATGTAAACTGCAGTTCATCTTGATATATAAACTGCATAGCGCTACTTTAACAAGCAAAATTAAGTTCAGTTAAATGAAGTAATCTTCACACTGACACTCTCGGGGGATGTTAAAACATTCCGCACAACAATCCAATCGCTACAATGACAAATACACCCGAACTGAACACGCGTCCTGATGCATTGGGGGAAGTGGGCCGTGTATCGACAAATCCAACTGAACTCGAAACGTGTGTAGTACCAATTCTACTTGGTGCAATCCGCACACTTGACATCGAGCTTGACACGGTACTGGTAGCGACCATTTCAGATTTTGTTGTCATAGGAACGACAGATGAGGTAGGAGTTTGAAAGTTTTCAACCAGGGTGTAATTGGCCACACAGCGGTCATTGGAGCAGCAACCAAATATCGCACAGACGTTAGTAACTTGGCGAACAGGGCAGTAGTCTGCTAAAGCACACTCGTCTCTTGGCTTACAACCTAAAATCAAATGATATTTGTTGAAACCACGATTATACGAGACCAAAGCAAGACTGAAACAGAAACGCTAAACGTATATAAGAAATGGAAACCTTTTTCGATTCTAGTGGTGTTATCTTGCAGGTTTATTATTACTGCTGTGTAACAAAGATCATTGACATCTGAACATGTTGTCACATTGTCTACACATGTACTCCCTGTGCACAGACATGTCAGTGCCTGCACTTGAAGACCTAGAATTGAAAAACAGTTTTTCAGTAACCATTGTTTAAAGAACAAAACATCTTGAACGGATGCCAAGAAGAGCTAGTACTGACCATTGAATAAATAGACCAGGACAAAAACAGCTAGCGTTACTTTTGATATAATCATTTTCTATAAGAAAAAAATGTTGATTGCCGATGAGAAGGAATATAAACTAAACTAAAAATAAACTGGATACCCGCTCAGATTCAGTCAAATCTAAACTGGGCTTCCTGGAGGGCCAGTAAGGATCAGGCAGTCTCTTTTTGATCCAGTGTTACCACATCGGGGACGAGGCTGAATTTTGAATGTGGAAAAGAAAAGCGAAAATGCTTTTATGTAAAGTATGCTACAACACGCAGTTCTAGTTCTGGGAAACCTAGTTCTAGAGGCTAGAAGTGGGTCGCTATACCGGCATGGAAACATAATTCCGTGTCGAAGATTATAACCGACTATTTGCTATCAATCACGAATAACATGGAACTACACTGTGATATGACAGGCTATACGAGCCCCTCTATATCATTACTGGTGAACAAAGACGCCCTGATATCGTAGTTATAGACAAACAATGGAGTTGGCTATTTGTTTTGCAATTGGAATTAACTGTCGGTTTTTGAGACCAGAATTAAAGACAATGCTGTACGTAAACACAATCATTATAGTGGTCTATGCTCTGAACTGAGAATTCAGTATAATAGAGTAAAGTTTGTCGTCATGTCGGTTGGAGCTTTGGGAATCCTAGGAAAGAGCAGTCGTTCATTCATGCATGCAGTTTATATCCAACGACTTGTTATTAGATAATCAAAAAACTAACCATGTGAATGCTAAAATAAGGGTGCATGTTATATTAGAACAACTTATTATATATTCTGCCGAAAGGACAAGGACTGTTAAAAACATGGTAGTGTAACGCTCCTGTTCTTAATTGTACATATATCTAAATAGTTTATACTGTATACATTGTAAATTTTTAGTACCTTCCAAGCTTGTACCATAATTGCAGCCTTCTGTAGTCTTTTCCAGCTGCGACAAAATGACCGTCCGACAGCCACACTACTAACTTGAAGAATGCCACCTGTACGATGATTATGTAAATTGAATATTTAAATGTCACTTGGACATGTTTTCAAGTACTAGTAAACTTAAAAATGTCCACGCAGTAATATTGTTTGAGCGTCTCTTTACTGCCTAAAATAAATTACTTGTTTAATTGGCGTCCCCATGAATCCTTTGAAAAAATCTTTCAGTTCGGTTTTACTCGTAGTATGAATTTACAGTTCAAAGTTGCCATTAAATCGAGGGATGAAACTACTATTAACGTCTTAAGCTATAGAGTACTTGTCCCAATGTATTTTATATAATTTTTATATTAAAATAAAAAAGGGCAATAAAAAGCTTCTGCCCGATCTGAAAAATGGATGGACGCTAAACAAATACTTTTGTACGTGGCCTAAGCATTAGACAAGCTAGTGAAAACATTAAAAAGGTAAAACAATGTGGATGAACTCAAAAGCAATTCAGACTATTCCCGAATACTAACCCTTTAATTTAAAGAAATTATCTGGAGTCGTCAGGGCCGTCCTCAGGAATTCTTCAGGGGGGGGGGGGTGGTGTAAGGTCATTTCAACCGATTTGTAAGGTCATTTCAACCGATTA